GTACTCACTCCAGCTACAGACTTATTGTCTTGTATAACTCTTGCAATTTCTAACATAGATGTTCACTTAGTTATTAGGATGCATTCTCATGATCAGCTAGGGCATCAATGTGATTATATCTCAAATTCACACCATAAAACAAATAAAATGTTGGAAAAGTGTATGTGAAAGGATGAATAAACTAAATCATTCCCCCATCTTTTTTATTGTTACATTTTAGTGCATTTGCATGGAAGTATTGCTATATTAGTTCATGTATTCTCTAAGCTCATTATGAGAAATACAGATTAGAAGTTTGTTAACATGCCATGTAAACACAGACATACACAAAAGAACTCTTTTCAAAGTTATAGTTTTCCAACCAGGTCCTGTGGGTAAGAGCAATTCCATTGGCAGAACCCAAAAAGCCAACTTTGGCACCCAGTGTGTATCAGTTGTGCACAATGGTTTATACTGTAACAATGTGAAATATGCACACATATTCAAGATGACATTTAAAATTTGGATTGCTGTACTGCAAGGGCACAAGAGTTCCTATACCTGCAGTCCTGCAAACAAGTCATCTGAATACACAGGAAATCCCAAAACAGCTGCAAACCAGATTTGGAAAATTTTCTTTTTTGCTACACAGCATCCCAAAAAATATAGTGACATAAAAATAAATTAGAGAAGATGGAGAATTTTGTTGTTGTCTACATCGTGTTCTAATATCTGTGTATTTGCACATCCATTTATTGTTTGTTGAGTTTATGTGAGTGTTCACGATCAGCCAGAATTGCTACTATTCAAATGGAGAACTTTACCAACTGACCCATTTAGAGTCTAATACAAGCAAAGAAGTTACTTATTAATTGTGAACTCTCTCAACATAATCAAATCTTTATTATCGTCATAGACCAGCATAAGGAGGGTGGGGTACAGTCAATTAAAAAGCATAGAAGATACATCAGGGACTAAAAAGAAAAATTATGAAAATATATTAAAACAGAAAGTATATAAAAAACATGAGTCTAAAAGAATCTAAAAGGAGGGGTAGGAGCATTAGATGGGTGTAGGGGAGCATAAAGGTT